GCTCTCGTGCTAATGCCTCCTAACAAAATTGTTTGAGAACAACTGCTGTGCTCCCTCTCATTATTGCAAACATATCTAAATATTACCTAGAGCTTATTTTCTTAGGAACAAGTATTGGCAGGTCCTAAACTGGAGATGGGAATGTTTGATAGTTCTCAGGTGTAGCGCCAGTCCTTGGCTGCAGCTCACGTGTCTCCTTGCTTATGCCAAGAGGTCTAAATATCTCAATATGCAAAAGTTGGACAGACCTGGGTATCTGCAGGGAAGCAACATGCGGAGAGGGCTCAGATTGCAATCTTTTGCAGGTTTATGATATAGTGTGTCTTGCTGGGGTGCCCATGAGGTGAGAAGGATTGAATTCACTCATATGAAGTAGGCATTACAGTGGCGCTTTCCCCAGAAGTATCTCTGGAGATCCTGATATTACTTTCCTTCTCTTTTAATGAATAATGAAGTCTACTTCCCTCCAGTTCTATTGGGAAAACCAAACTGCATGTAACAGTCTATGTGATGTCATCTTAATGAAATTTTTCTACAATATCCTGTATCTAAATCAGGATTATTTCTCTTTCTCATATGCTCAGTTGGAGATGAAACTCCTATCCCTGCCTTTTAGGTAATCCTTCTCCACATTTTTCCTTTGTCTGAGTACATCTGTTCGTTCTATCTGAACTACCTGCTTAGATTGCAGAATAGCTCTTTTTAAAATTGCCAAATACACCTTAACTTTCCAAAATATTGTTCCTGCATGTCTTTCTTTCACATAGAGAACAATATGTGTTCCAAGCAGAAATTCAACATTATTAAAGTTATTTTATATCTTTTCTGCAAAATCATTAAAAAAGAAAAAAAAAAGATCCAAGCTTCTCTCTGTGTCATAAAATTTCTGAAACTTCAATTTATTTTGAGATATTAGATTGTAACTGATGGAGACCAGAAACTGATATGCATATATTTAATGGTCCTTGTTGAGAATGGGAAAAGGGTAGCAACTGCTGGGAGAAAAGCCAGGCAGAAAATTGGAATAGTGACCATTTTAGCCACCTCCATTTCAGTTACCGATAAATGTGAATCAAAGCTCTGTGAAGCCACAATTGAGAGCTGGAATATTTACAATTCCTCCAGCAGAGGTTACTGAAGTAAATGTGTTCAAAATAACATGAATAAGCAACAGCAGTTTTTCATTTTGCTGATATGTCACTTACGGTCTATGCTTTTCCACTGTCTATATGCTATGAAGTCTCTAGACAACTGTTAAATCTCATAGCCTCACAACAGTTGCTACCTTATTACACTGTGCAGTCAAATCAGTGGAAAGTTTCGGTCATTTATTTACAAACATACACAAGATAAAGGCTTAAAAAACACATATATTTTACTTTAATTTTGATAATTTCTAAAGGTATATCTGCAATATCCACATCCACTCCAATTTGTTTAATCCTTGTATCCTTATTTTATGTTACACGGTATTAACAAAGAGGACCTTGAAAGTCACAATTTGATTAGCTCTTCTCTAAATTATCTTCCCATTGAAGCATTACAGAACTCAGGTGCACTTTTCCTGCAATGGTTTTTTCTGGTATCTCATTCTTATGTGGTGGAGGTCGCAATTTTTCCCTTCATTGCACTTATTCATAGCTTCACATTCTATGAAACACAATTTTACAGCAAACTAAAATCTTTCATCTTATATACATTTTTAGTATTTACAAAACAGTCATTGTAGATAAAACCATGCAATGGGAATAGAATTACACTTACTGAAGACTACCTATTCATACAAGCTGGATGTTTGGTTGCTAATATGTACTTAAATACTGTATTCACATTATGTGTTATGTCTGTTAATACGAAAGGGTTGAGCTGTAGTGTAGTCTTTGTGATTCTTAAATAACTACAAAAGGCAATGATAATATGCTTTTTTTCATAATTGGTTACAGATTAATGAAATATTCCTCAGAGCTCTGTTCTGTTTGGCATATTACCCTGTCTTCCACCAGATATCAGTATTGATTGAATCCTTCCTGGTTCTTTATGAACGACCTATGGCCTACCTCTCCCCTTGTTAAAACTCAGGTTATCACAAAGCGCTCTAGTTTTTATCATGAAAGTATTTCCTTATTTCAGTAATTACCGTAAAATGCACAAGGAATAATTAGGTGGGTTGTATTTAGAGTGGAAAGAGGATTCAGAATTGGCTTAAGGTAAACCTTTGTGCATACATAGTCTGTGAGATGGGTAAGAAAAATCCAAACAGTAATATAATTTTAAATTGTACTACTATTAGAGAAAATACATAACAAGATAACACTCTCTGAGGAGGAAGAGCATAATTACTAAACTGCTATGCTAGTCCTTGCACATCTTAAATTACCAGAGAAACAAAGATAATTTCCATAAATATCACCAGAAGTTTAGGAGATTGCTTTCTTCTACAAAGCTGAAGTTTTGTAACATCAGATATCAAATGACTATTTACTTGAAACTAAAATGCAACATGAAAAGTAAATAGCTTGATTTACTTAATAATTGGTAAAAAAATTCATACAAAAACAAGCAAACAAAAAGAAAACACCCCACACAAGGCAGTAGAGTAAGTTTGCCTCCCTTGTACTGAAATTCCAGGATGTCAAAATAAGCCAACTGTGTGTTCATAAATCTCCAGATATTAATAAATTGCTTATGTTTCTATAACAAGTGCAATAGGAGGCTGTATGAGACACTATTTGACTAGACTTTAGCGTTTTAAGAGGTAAAACACATGGTCAAAGGAACTGGTTCTTAATCCATATTCAGAGCTGAAAGAAGAGTTTGTGTTACTTCCTCCTCTTCAAAATCAGTTTAAACTGTCAAAATAGCTTTAAATCGGAAGATTTCAACTTCGACCCCAAGAAAACCCTCTAAAGAATCAGACTGAGTTGTTGCTGTAACATTTATGTCAAAAGGAAATTTTTAATTTGCAAGGAAAAACAAAAGTTTCTCTCTTCAGAGGTCTCTCCAGCAGCAGCACACGGGATTTATCGCCTCTCCTTTAACTCAAACCGCGTGTTTGCCGCTGGAAACTCTCCCGAACGCAAGTACCTGCTCTTCTCCTCCCTCACCGGGGAAATGGGGCGATTTGGTGGCAGAAATTCCGAGGAAAATACACTTTTGTTAGTCCAAAGAAACACAAATCGAGCACACCGAAGGGCTCCCCGGCCGTGCAGCGGGGCGGGCTCTGCAACGCACCAATCACCGCGCGGCTCCGCTCTAAAAATACGAGCATCTGACCCGCGCCAGCCCAATTGTGTTCGCCTGCTCCGCAGAGGACGCCGCCGCGATGTCCGAGACCGCTCCCGCCGCCGCCCCCGATGCGCCCGCGCCCGGCGCCAAGGCCGCCGCCAAGAAGCCGAAGAAAGCGGCGGGCGGCTCCAAAGCCCGCAAGCCCGCGGGGCCCAGCGTCACCGAGCTCATCACCAAGGCCGTGTCCGCCTCCAAGGAGCGCAAGGGGCTCTCCCTCGCCGCGCTCAAGAAGGCGCTGGCTGCCGGCGGCTACGATGTGGAGAAGAACAACAGCCGCATCAAGCTGGGGCTCAAGAGCCTCGTCAGCAAAGGCACCCTGGTGCAGACCAAGGGCACCGGTGCCTCCGGCTCTTTCCGTCTCAACAAGAAACCTGGAGAAGTGAAGGAAAAAGCTCCCAAGAAAAGGGTGCCCGCAGCCAAGCCCAAGAAGCCGGCAGCCAAGAAGCCAGCCAGCGCCGCCAAGAAGCCCAAGAAAGCAGCAGCAGTGAAGAAGAGCCCCAAGAAGGCTAAAAAGCCGGCGGCTGCGGCGGCCAAGAAAGCGGCCAAGAGCCCCAAGAAAGCCGCAAAGCCAGGCCGCCCCAAGAAGGCAGCGAAGAGCCCGGCCAAGGCAAAAACGGTGAAGCCCAAAGCGGCCAAGCCTAAGGCAGCCAAGCCCAAAGCGGCCAAGGCGAAGAAGGCAGCGCCGAAAAAGAAGTAAATTATAATACCGGAAGAGTCCTGCTCTACATATTTTGTTATCCAACGGCTCTTTTAAGAGCCACCCACACTTTCCCTAAAGGAGCTGAGGCACCGGGGTCGTCCATAACCTGCAGCAGGGATCCAGTAATTCGTAAGTCGTCAAGAGGTCAATTGTGTCTTTTTTTTTTTTTTTTCCTCCCTAGGATTACCGAAAGAAATGCTAACGAGCACGGTATAACGCGGCGGCTTTAGGGAAGTGTAGACTTTTTTTTTTTCTCCGAGTAATTAGTTTGACTACCAGGAAGCAATGTTAAGCAATGTTTTGTAATGATTTGATAAAAAAAAAAGGATGTATGTTTTTTTAAAAGATGTATTTTGTAACAAAATAATGCAATTGCCAGGCACGCTACTACTGAGCCATGTCTAATCTATTGTATTATTTCACTTAAGGTGTCTCCTTAAATGCTTTGGTTTGTCTGAGGGAGGAGGGGAGGGTTTCTTTATTGACACGAAAATAGCCCTGAGCTCTCCCGATCCTTTTGTTCCCGCTGAGAAAGAAAGCTTGAAGTATTGAAAAAGCCCGCTCTGACCAAGGATTGGCCGGCGGAGAGCCCGGCCCGCTGGCCCCCCCTTCCCCCTCCCTCCCCGAACATTACGGCTCTTATCTCTTTGAACTGTATCAGCCACTCTCGGAGAAGAAAAAGGCGGAAGAGGGGGGAGGGATGGGAACTCTCAACGAATAGTGTTCCCATGTTCTCCGACATAGCAACTAAACGGAAAATATCCCATACCAGGAAGGAATTTGCATGGGGAGGACCTTTTGGCACGCCTTTGTTAACGAAAACCTGGAAAGCGTTGCTACTATCACCAAGCCAAAAATGCTGTTAATAAATATGGAAAAAGACAAAACACGGGTTGAGTGATTAATATAAATTGGTGTAACTATGGTATGGATAACTGAGCTCTCTTATGATTTTGTGGGTGGCTCTGAAAAGAGCCTTTGGATTGTTTTCTCCGGAAGAGACAACGTGCCGCTTTTCCTTTTTGTTTACTTGGCTTTGGCCTTGTGGCTGTCGGTCTTCTTAGGCAGCAGCACGGCCTGGATGTTGGGCAGCACGCCGCCCTGCGCGATCGTCACCTTGCCCAGCAGCTTGTTGAGCTCCTCGTCGTTGCGGATGGCGAGCTGCAGGTGGCGGGGGATGATGCGCGTCTTCTTGTTGTCGCGGGCCGCGTTGCCCGCCAGCTCCAGGATCTCGGCCGTCAGGTACTCCAGCACGGCCGCCAGGTACACGGGCGCGCCGGCGCCCACCCGCTCCGCGTAGTTGCCCTTGCGCAGCAGCCGGTGCACGCGGCCCACGGGGAACTGCAGCCCGGCCCGCGACGAGCGCGACTTGGCCTTGGCCCGCGCCTTCCCGCCCTGCTTCCCGCGCCCGGACATCTTCTCTGGCTCGCTCGCCGTTTAGAACAACCCGCAGCAGGACAGAGCAGGCAGACGGCGCTCCCGGTCTACAGCCCCGCTTTAGAACCTCGTCCCTTCGCTGATAGGCTGAGAAGTAGGTCTCGTCTGAGCAGCCAATGACGAGGCGAATCGAATTCTGACCAATAAAACCAGGCTATTGAGGAATGATGATGCCTTGTATTTTGCCCAATGAGAATGAGCAAGGCTGATACCTCATTTGCATAAAGGGGCTATAAATAAGCATGTAGTCGGCCATCGTCGCATTCGTTTCTGACCTGGACTTGGAGCTGTTGTAGTGATTTGTGGGAGACGCGCGTTCGCAGCCATGCCCGAGCCGGCCAAGTCCGCGCCCGCGCCCAAGAAGGGCTCCAAGAAGGCGGTGACCAAGACGCAGAAGAAGGGCGACAAGAAGCGCAAGAAGAGCCGCAAGGAGAGCTACTCCATCTACGTGTACAAGGTGCTGAAGCAGGTGCACCCCGACACGGGCATCTCCTCCAAGGCCATGGGCATCATGAACTCCTTCGTCAACGACATCTTCGAGCGCATCGCCGGCGAGGCCTCGCGCCTGGCGCACTACAACAAGCGCTCCACCATCACGTCGCGGGAGATCCAGACGGCCGTGCGGCTGCTGCTGCCTGGCGAGCTGGCCAAGCACGCCGTCTCCGAGGGCACCAAGGCTGTCACCAAGTACACCAGCTCCAAGTAAATAGCTGCTAAAAATACTGTATAACCCAAAGGCTCTTTTAAGAGCCACCCACCTTTTCAATAAAAGGGCTGTACAGTCAACTAAGAACACTTTAGTTTCCTAGTGTGGAACCTTATCTTGCAGTTTTGGGGAGTTTGTGCATGCCACTTATGGCTAGTTCTGTTAACATACTGGTTTGTAGTTTAATGTGTTATTGAACATAAACTAATTGGGCAATAAATCACTATAACTAGAGGCATTTTTAACTTTTCTCAAGATGACACCACTTTTTGTTAATCTATGGTTCTCTTGCAACTTTCAATATTGTGTTATATGTGAGCAATACCTCACTGATCTCAGGGTTCATGTAATGTGTTAAAAGACTGGAATATTTCTGCATTTTTTTTAGCCAGGAAAATCAAAATTATTACTAATGGATTCTTATCCATGTACAGCATAACTATTGTAAGATCTAGCATTTGATGGTGCTCAGTCTTTGGGGTTTTTTGGTAGTTTTTATGATAGCAGAAGTAAGAGGACTGCAGTGCACTGCACTATAAAAGTATTTATGTAGTTACAAGTGACATTTATCTTAAGATGTTACCAATAACCCAGTGATTAAAACAATTCAGAAGTACTTTCTACAGTCTTTGTCTCCTACAGTTGTCTTAATTATTATACAGTTCATGTGAATTTTACAGTAACTTGCCTAGCTTCTCCCTATGACTGCTTGAGGTTCCCCTTGCAATTAAAAAATATGTGAAGTTCAATAGTTTTTATACATATTTGACATTTCCTGCATTTATATGTCATTAATTGTATTAAAAGTATTAAATATTAAGAAACTAGGCACTGTGGGCTGACTTAGCAAGCTATCAGTTATCATATATCTACTTGTCAGGCTCAAACTATGGAATCACTCCATCACATTCTTGGATAATTAAATGCTACCATAGATGCAGATCAAAGCCATTATCACTTTTCAGCTGGGTCTGAACAATCTTGACTTTCAAGTATATATTGTGGACTTCTGAAGATACTGAATTCATAGAGGGACTCAACCTTCCTAGTAGTGACTGCATGTTGTTTGGTAGTACAGGTAATGAGACAGGCACCAGGTCTCTCAAATCTGACATCTATTACCTAATCAAAGTTAATTTCAGCTTGAAGGTTTATAGGGACTTCTCAGATTGGATTTCAGATATCCAGTGGGAATTGGCATCCTCTGTACTCCATACTCTTCTTCAGCAGCTCGAAATGGCATTTTAGACATCTGCTCACCAAGTGCTTTACTGCAAACTCTGGAACACAGGTTGTGTATTCTGGGCCTCTGTATATGTCCAATGCCTAAGAAGATTAATGAACCACAGTATATTCCAATCTCTAGGTTTTTATAAGGGTACCTGGCTCACTAGAAAAGGACTCTAGAAAAGGATTATATCATATGAGCACATAAATACGTTCATATTTAACATGATGATAATCACCAGAAGAATTTTACACTGGCTATTATTCTCTATAATCACTCGTGTAAAAGCACCCTAGTTCAAAATACAGCTGTCACAGGGCTGCCCTGTTGCCTAGGTTAAAATAGGAGCTTGGTGGTGCCTTTTGGACTCCCAGCTCATAAGCATTCCTATTACCTTTCCTGTCTTTATATGGTCCAGGTTGCACACTTCGTTAACATAGCTGTCATAGAAATTTCAGGTATTTTTTAATAGACTGTTTCAGTACGGGAAATTGTTTCTAGGCCCATGAAACTTAACTCAAGATAATTAAATGTTGCTATGATTGTTCCTTTCAATTTCAGTATCAATGATAAGGCAATATTAGGGGACTATAATGTGAACATAGCATTTGACATCAGATCTGATTGTAACACAACCCTTATTTTTCTAACAGTGCTGAGAAAAAAGTCTCTGAACTGACAAAAAGCAACTAACATGGAAATTTTTTGTGCTTGTTCTTTTCACCAGAGGTAAAAGCAGTAGGATTTGAGCTCAGCAAAAATAACCAATTCGGTTTCATGTCTCAGGAGAATGTGAACTTTCAAACATTCAAAACATTCAAAACCAATAATGCAAGTAGTGTGAATATACATATATTCACACATATACAGGGTGTGAATATGAAGTCACATGGCTGCTTATTTTTCCATCATTCATGTTCTTTGCTGTTCTTTCCTATTTAGTTCAAAGCAGTGCTGTTTGTCTTAATCCCACTCTGCAGAGATGACATCAACAGCAACAGTAAGATGAGAGTGTTCAAATACATTGTCCTGGTATAGCAGGAATTATGCTGCTTCCACTTAGACCATGTAGGAATTATGTACATGCCACCTCTAAATGGTTCCTGCCCTAGGTTCCAGATTGAAAATGAGTTTCCAATCCACTGAGTAAATGTAGTTTATTTCTCCAACATGCAGAGCAGCTAGAGCTGAGTGTCTTCAAAGAGGAAACCTCTGCACCAGATTGCAACAAAAATTATACCTGTACCACTTATCACCTGATCCCAAAATCCAATAATTTAATTCTTGTTGGTGTTCCCTTGATTTCCTGCTGATTTTCTGATCACTGGGCTGGTCATCTTCTGAAGTTTTTTCATTCTCTTCAGGTTTATTTCCATGATGTTTCTTCATTCTGCTTCTATCTTGGCAATTTCAGCTTGTTCTGTGTTTGTGGCATTAATTTTATCAAAAAGTTTAGGCTCTTATCAGCTCTTGTACCCTAAGGCTTCAACTTGTTGAGCTTCCAGTGATAAGCAAGGCTATTAATCCTAACAATTCTCAACACTGGGATGTGCTAGAATGCATAATGTTTAAACAGACCCTTCATGTTGTATTTTTATCTACCCTCCATGTTTGCCTTCAAAATTCCTCTTGATTCACATTAACTGAAATATAGGGTGTATCTGCATTTGGTTATGCAAAAATTTTTGTCAAAATACTTTTTTTATACCATCACTTTTTTGTATCTTAAATTACCAGAGTTAGATTACGGTTTAGTAATGTAGTGAATAACCAGCAATAATACTGAAGAACAATACAACCAGTACAAAATTTCTTGTATCTTATTTTTATCAGAGTAATAAAATTAGTAGCATTCCTGGAAAATTCTCTAGATCACCATACCTACAGTAAAATTTATTTATATTCATTGTCATGTTTAAAAAAGAAAACCAACACCCTCTGCTTTTTATTTCTACAGAAGTGAAATACACAAAATTTAAAATATAAAATTTAAAATATATATAAAATTTAAAAAATAACTTTATTGTCCAGTTAACTAATTGAGTAGTGAATTAGAAATTAGAAAAGGCTGTCATACACCTGACCCAAAACCTGACCAACTGTCTATAGCAATTTTCTACTACTTCACAGTTTTGGTTGTAGTTTTTTGAGTATTTTTGTTGTTGTTGTTTCTTTTGTTTTTATTAACGGAATAAATCAATATCTGCTCACCTGCTCATGAAATCAAATTCTTTTTCATAATGGCCACAGATTATAACTACTTGACACACAGGGCAAATTATTGCAATGTTACTGTCACAGAGACTTTCTTTTCCAGTTTTAATATAAAGGAATATATTTTAAAATAATTAGCATTGTAGGAGAAAGTATTGACTACAGCTTGGGAAAAATATTTGGTCTTACACACACCCATATATAATGGTTTTGGCCAGTAATGAAAATGTGCCCAGTTCAAATTGTAAATGAAAACAAAAATTGAGACTTTGTGTTCCAAAACCTGGTGTCAGGGTTAAGCCGTTCAGAGCACAGCACAGCTCAAGACAGGACACAAATCTCACTGGAGAAGAGGACTAGAAGTAGACGGGAACATAGCTGGGAACTTCTCCCTTCCCATCTCATACATTTACAAGAAAGGAAGAAACATTACAATGAGCAGGAGCAGCTCTTTCCTCAAAGACTGGGGTCACAGAACAAGAGGCTTATGTAGGTAGAAAGGCCTTTTAGGCTTTAAGTTTCTTTCATGGCTACAAAGAACTAAATTATTTGACAGCAGCCCTGATGGAGTGGTTGTTCCAAAAGCATTTCTTGTCAAAAATGATAATACATATTAATAGCAAAGGTTCATCCTTTCATTTCTAACACTGAAAAGCTCAGGAAGCAATTCTGGACATATTTGCATTTCAAAACTAGAAAATAAGTTGCTTGTGTGTGAAAGGAATAACAGAATAGCTTGGAATTTTAATCACTAATAAAATCCACAATCTTTTTGTATTTGTAGTACTACTTGTATTTTCATGTAGATGTTTTACTTGCAAAGGTTACAGG